ATATATAATAATTATTAAAAAGATTAATTTATTATTAAAAAATTTAATTAATAGTATATAAAATAAAATTATCTTTAGATTCTTTAAGATCAATTAGGACTTATTAGGATTTTTACCAACCCTAAGCATAATCGATTAATCATTTATCTCAGCTGAAATGCACAGTATAATATTGGGTCAAAAAATAAAAGCATAAATATATATTTGTATTAATTAACAAAATAATCAAGTATTATTCCATTTCTTTCTTTTTGGTCATGCTACTATTAATAAAGTAATATTCAAATATGAATATTTTTTGGCAATCAATATTTTTGCATAATAGGAATTTGAGGATATGTATACTAATCATTTGATTAGCAAGAAGGATTAACATAATGGTCTATTTTTTTAGAACTTCCTAGACTGAAAAAAAAATGTTATAAAGTAATATTTTCAGATTATAATTTTGAGGAATAATGTTTTATTGCTATTCTGATCCTGGAATACCTTAACACTTATATTCGTATTTTGAAATTTTTTTAGTAATTCATTTACCTCCATACATATTTTTTAAATATATAGTAGTGATCAAAAAAAATGATTATTTTTAAAATTGTAATAGTTATATAAATATTATACTAATTAAAACATACAATATACCTTTTATAATCATAAATTGAATTTATAAAATCAATTAGAAGGCTTTTTTATATTTTTTATATATTTTTTTTTTTTACCTTTATTCAAAAAACTTTTAATTTACTAAATTTTTCTAGCCTATATAACTTCACATTCCTTTTAATAATTAAGCTAATACTTTTTAATAAATTTTAGATCTAGATTATTAAAAGAACAATCCATAACCTTTAAAATACTATTTTTAAAAAAAAATTAGTAAAATACTAAATTACTTAACAAAATGACTAAAATGCTATCTTGATTTTACATTTAATCTCTAATTTATTTCAATTTTTTAAGTTTTTAGTGATAGTTTTATGTTAATCTTTATGAATGAGTATATTTTAGTAGCATTGTATACTTCTCGCCTTCAGAAATATAATCTCATTTAATGTTAAGTTTTTTACCTAGATAAAATCACTTTAAAGCTTAATAAACTAAAATTTTTATTAAGGTATAGGAAAAATTTTACTTGAAAGTAATATCTTAATTATAAGGCTTTCATTTGCATTTTTATTTATATATGTACGATTAAAATTGAAGAAGTTGCAAAATGACGATCTAACGTAGTAAAATTGTCATTTTTTTTGACCTAATAAAAAAGTTACATACCTTCAGGACAAACAGAATATGGTATCCCTGTTCTATAAATCAAAATTTGTAAATATAGTAATAAAGCAAAGAAATAACTTTGACGCTGGGACTCACATTAAATGACTTAGTCTCCCCCCTAGAAAGCATGTCATATATTTAACTGCTACTATATCAATTTTCCGCTTTGCTAAAAACTAAGCATGCAATCAATAAATACAATTTCTTCCTGTAGGTACACAAAGCATTCACGCCAAATAAGAGCAATCGAGCGTGTGATACACACTCTTGTCGACTGATCATGAACCAATAACTCTCAAAAGAGCTGAAGGGGTAACCGCAGTTCTTAAGAATGATCGGTCAGTGCATCACCTTCTATATAACAAGTCATAACAGGTGTCCTCTTTGAGAATAACCGCAGTTTTTGACTAACCCTGCCCATGTCCTGCCATATAGGGTAAAGTAATCTTTTTTGAAAAGAACGAAACAAAATACAATTAGTAAGTAGTCTGCGAATTATGATTTGCTTAAAAATCAAATGCTTACGAGAAACCAAAGAGAACCTGCCATGAAATAATGGAATGCGCTCACAATATAATTCTTGACAACCAAGCATGAGCCACAACTCTGAGAGCTGAAGGATAACTGCAGTTCCTCTGAATGCTCAGTAGTTATATTATCTTCTATGAGAGGATCTGGTTACAAATGGACCTTCTGATGAAGAATAACCGCAGTTTTTACCAATCTGCGCCAGAACACATCTCACAGGAGTCGTCGACACGTTAAATGAAAGAAGAAACATTTCCTGCCCGTTGAGTTAACCATCATATGGGCCTTTGCAATAGAAAGGGGGAAAACAGCCAGAAAAATCAAAAGTGAGTTAATGCTAAATTTGAACATATTTCAGCATAAAAATCATATTTGACATATAAAAGTAAAATTAATTTTTTCCAGCAGTTTTCCCCCTTTCTATTGCAAAGGCTATACATGAAGTCGAAATGAAAACCCAAAAAGTCGAAATGTTTCAACTTTGGAGGTCAAAGTCGAAATGAAAAGTCGAAATAGTCAAAATGACATCATATCACATGATTTTTTATATATAGAAAAAACAAAAAAAAACAAAAGATGTACGATCTCGGTCAATA